AACACAGAAGTTACAGTAAAGGAGAGCAGACCAGGAAGAGGAAACATTTGGTACCAGGGCCAGAAGCAGCTTGGTACATGAGGAGCACACGAGATGGGGTGTGGAGCAGAGAGGAGGAAGCATGGGGAGTATCCCTGGGGATAGAGGTGGGAGCCAATCAGGGGAAACTCATAGGTCAGGGTGAGGAGTCGGTATATCATTCCAAGTGTTAAAGAAAGCCATCTAATCAGGGAAGCAACATGATCTGGTTTACAAATTTAAAATCATCCGTCTGGCTGCTGGATGGAGAAGGGACTGTTTGGGGCGATGGAGAAAACAGGCTCAGCCGAGGCAGTTCGGGCAGCCCGGCGTGTGGAGATGGACGGCGGGAAGGGGACAAGCACAGCCTGTGACTGAGGGGCAGGGCTGGCAGGACTCACTCATGGATGGGGCGGATGCAGGTGATCAGAGCATAAGGACCTGGATGTTTTGGCTAGAACACAAGCCTTGCAACAGAGGCTATTTTCATGGAACAAGAGAGCCAGTATTCCAGGCGTCCAGTTACAACAGTGGGAGTCATTCAGCACATGCTGGAAAAGCCAGGGAAGAGGGAACTGAATTTGGTCTGTTGAGTTTATGATGTCCATGAACAGGTGCCAAAAGCTAGGCAGGCAGTTGGATCCAGGATCTGGAGATCTGGCGAGAGGCGAGAGTTGGAGTTGAAAGTTGAGGACCATTGGTAAAAGGTGACGTTGTGGGAACAGGAGTGAACGAGATTTTTAGAACAACAGCTGGAGCCAAAGGGAGAGGGCAGGGCCAGGCCTGAGCAGCGGGGCACTCCAACACTGATGGGCCAAAGAGAACCAGTGAAGAAGATGGGCCAGTGGAAGTCAAGAAATTTGGAGGAAAACCAGGAGAAGCCAGAAACAAAGACAAAAAGGAGCATTTCAAGGGCCAAGCGGGGAAAATTATGTAGAGTGATGCTGAGAAATAATGAAGGCTAAGGACAGGAAGCTCCCTGAGCCCGTGGCACTGTGGACAGGCACAACCTCAAGGACTGGTCTTGTTCCATGTGGAGCAGGGAGCAGAGAGCAGAGGGCTTGAGGAGGTGACAGTAACCAGGACGGTGCTAAAGAAGTATTACTGAAGGGATAAATTGTGGCACAAATTTTAGAAGACAACAATGGGTCCCATTATGGTGTATTGAGCTGTGGGCACTTCACGGCCAATTCCACTTCAGGGAGTGGGTTTTGGGAATGTTAACTGCCTGGTCATGCCCTCCTTCCTTTTTTTGGGTAAGATGTCTCTTCAGTTCTCATATCTAACACATACACATAGACACACACACACACACACACACACACACACTCAAAAGACTGGTTCCAGGTTGGGACTCTTATAGTCAAGTTAGTATACTATAATCCATAACCTTACCCAGAATGTGAGTTGTTTGGTGTAGGCTAATCTAAATTGAGCTGAATCACTTAGACTTCCTTCTCACAGCTGATTGGTCCAGAAGCATCTCATGACTTTCTCTGGTCCAGATGCCTCCTGGGATTTTGGAATTGGTATATGTGTGTGAAGGGGTGGGGTTTTAGATATCACTTTCCAGGAAGTCAAATTGTTCTTATATTTTTCTTTTTCTTCTTTGGTACTGGGTAAGGAACCTAGTGCCTCATACAAAGTAGGCAAGTGCTCTACTACTGAGCTATGCTGCATGCTCTAGGAAATCAAAGTGCTCCAGCTTGCCCAGCCTGACTGGGAAGTAGAAGATGTAGGTTTGGAGTAACCATGCAAAAGAGAAATGAGCCTTTCCCTGCCCTTTTTGTACATCTATGTGGGCATGTTTTTCTGTGTTCTGTGAGGGTAAATTCCTCTTTTCCTTTAAGTTACCTTGTGTGAATTTTCATTACTCGTGATCAAGAGTCCTAATGAATTCTATATTATTATTACATCTTTCCAAACGTTGGAGCGGAGTTCCGGAGGTGACATAACCTGCCTTTGGTCGTGCAGCTACAGTGATGAGTTTCAGAAAGAAGCAGTGTCATTTTCTCCCACACTGCTCATCTCTGCACTTTCTTCTCACCTCTAGGAACAGTGATTTCTTCCTCTGAGCCCTGACTTACGTCTTAGAACTTCCCCAAAAGCTCCAGTTTCAAACACCACCCATCATACCTGTGAGCTGCTGGAATTTCTCAGACCTTTGTCCTGAATGGTTCAAAATATGGCCCCCATTACTGCGCTGCTTTGCATTATTAAGTCCCTCCACTGTCTTTTCAAGGTAAAGCAAAGCCTGGAGAAGGGTGAGGGAGAAGGTACAAGGAGAGAGAAAGGAACAGGAAGGCACAGTGCAGCCATGAAAGATGGAGGAAAACGGGGTCAGGGAGCAAGAAAGGAAGAAGACAAGGAAGGAACGACGCGAGGCACACGTGGAGAAATGCCGTGGAGACACAGACGCTTTCCTCAAAGGCAGATCTGCTCATGAGAATTCTGTTGGCTCAGCTCTTTCACAGCTTCCCTTAACTCAGGACAAGTCCCAGGTCCCTGGCCTTGCCCAGAAGGTCCTGTGTGGCTGGTCCTTGCCACGCCCAACTCTTGAGCTCTGCATCTTGCCCACAAGACTCCAGCCTTTTATTGTCCTGGGCTTCTCAGCCATTGCTCCTGCTGTCCAGCGGGATCGTCCTCTTTTACGCATCCCCAAGATAAGTTCAGCTGTCACTTGCTGGGGAGGCCTTTGCAAGGGGTCTCCCAATGGTGGTCTCCAGAGGAACACTTACTTATTCAGGAATATGATTCTTTAGGTGGAACAAGAGAGGGAATCAGCCGGGAAACAGGGGCAGCAGCTAGAGGCTGGCTGTAGCCACAGGGGACAGATCCTGGGGGATGGTAGGGTTGCATCTCAGACCTATGTACCCAGGAAATGACAGGGAAAAGCGTTCATCCATTGGCCCCTGTCCCCATTGGTCTGTTGTCCAAGGTTGCCTCCAAGGATACCAAGTCACCTGCTCTCTGGAATTATATGAGAGTGAGGCCTGTAGGGATTCTGTTCCCAAGTGACAAAGGAGCATCAGCTGTTAGTGTACAGGCCGATATGTGGCTGCAGAGACCAATGTGAGCAGAATTGGTTGATGTGATAAGTGATGGAGTAGGGGTTGGGTCCAAAGTGGTACACGGCAGATGGCAGGTGGTCATCTTCCCTGGCCACCCATCTCCAAGTGGTTCCTGTGGGTCTTCACTCTCCCAGCACCTCATCTATTTCCCACCTAACAACACCTACCATGGTTGTGTTTATTTTGCATTTACTTAGTTATCTTAAACTATGTCTTCGCCACTCCCATTACTCCTTAAGAAGGTTGTTTGGGGAACAGACTTCAGGAAGAAGAGTGGTGTGGGGAGACAAGCTAGGGAACTCTGTAAGAGCCCAGGGGCAGGGGCTGCTAAGGGTCATCATGGCTGAGGGAGAAGTCAGAGTTAGGATGATTTTGGGGTCATGTTGATGAGATTAGATGAATTGATGGATTAGATGCAGTGAGGGAAGAAAACAGGGCTCCAGGAAGACAGGTTGGCTTTGGTTGGAGAAACTGCGTGTATGTGGGGTTTGCTTGATTGCTGGTACCCTGATCAACTGCTTCCAGCCAGGCTGGATCTGCCGTGTCCACAGGATAGCCCCAAATCTTGGCATATAGTTGGGTCTCAATCTATATTTATTAAACGAATGGAGTCAGGGGGAGAGGGAGTGATCAGGAGAGTTACAGTTTAAGTTACAAAGCGTCCCCTACTGACTCAAGTGTTGAGTACTTGATCCTCAAAGTGTAACAGAAACTGGTTCCCCCAGGCAGTATATTTCAGTTTCTTAGTTGCTCGGGCAATAGTTCCTGTTCAGTTCCCATTGCTCCTGTCTCTTAGAAAAGGCTGGTCACCGTGATGCATAGCTGCATGCACTGTAATGCACACTGCATCGACCAATCGCCAATTGACAAGTCATTCTGCCTCAGGGCTTCCTGCTTGCTTATCCCACATAAGCTCTAGATCTCCAGAGATAAGGACCTGATATCTTGGGAATGATCACAACCAGTGCTCATCAACAAGAAACAAACCTGCCTCCAAATCTGGGTGTCATTGTGGTGTTTCTGTTTGCAGCTGCAAAAGTAGCAGTGCTCAAAGGTGGGGCCTCGTGAGGTGACTGGAATGGGGTGTTAGGAGCTGGGGTCCAGTCTGAGGAGGTGTCACTGTGAGGCGTGTGGAGTTCAGTGCGCAACGCAGAGTCCTGAATATGCGAGGCAAGTGCTCCACCGTGGAGCTACACCCCTGCAGGGCAGGCAGGTTTCATATCTGGGTGGCAACTTGAAGACCTGTTCATGTTTGTGTGCATGCGTGTGTGTGCGTGTGTGTGTGCATGTGTGACCTTTACCACCATTCATGTTGAGACAAAGCTATGTCAGCTTGTGTGCCCATGCAGGTGAATAGATGCCTATCTGCTTCACCCCAGTTAATACAGGAGTGACCTAAAACTACATTTAAATGCATCACAGTAAAGATACATTGCAGTTAACCTCCCTCAAAATCATCCTCCAAGCTTCAGACACACCCCACTGCTGTTGCTGCTTCCTGAAGGAGTTTCAGAAGTCCTCTTTTGCGCGTGTCTTTATGAGATGTGATCAAAAAATGCAGTGAATGCAGCCGTAAAATGCCATCCCATGGAAAGGCAGGCATACAAAAACATCATGGCATGTCCTCATTCAGTGTATTCACTAGCTCTGGCACCATGTGACTTATGGTTCTTCTCCAATGTCACTGAAAGGTAAACACTGAATCATTTCAGGACATTGAGGCAGCCATGATGGTGTAACTAAAGAAAGACACTCAGGAAAGAGGATTCTAGAACTGCTTCAGGAAGCAGCAGAAACAATGGGATGGGCATGCTTAAAAGGGGAGAATTTTGAGGGGAATTAATGGTAATGTGTCTTTTTCTGTTACCAATTTTTAAAGATTTAAAAATTCTTTGTGTTTTTTGTCCCCAGGTACAGCTACCTCTTCCCTTTCTGGATCTGAGGTTTCCCAGGCCCCGCTCGAGGGGGCAGCAGGTAAGCTCTCAGCTTTGCTCAAGCGTTAGAAGTCCTGTTGATTTTGCCCTTGCGTGTGTGCGTATTTTTCTACCCTGCTGAGATTTCCCTTGGCCACTGAACTTGCAGTGGGATTCCAGCAGATGTGGTATAAGCAAAGCTGGCTAACATGCTTGTGTAGTTTAACTCTCTCTTCTGAGCTCCTGGAATTTCCTGTGAGATGGATCCTTAGATACATTCTGGCCCAAAAAGAGGACACAGAACAGACTGGAACCCAGCTGGAGTCAAACTCCACCTCCTCTCATGCTAAAGCAGAGTTATACACAGGAAGAAATAGTGGTTGCTATTCTAAGTCACTAGGTTTTGGAATAGCTTATTACAAAGCATCATTGCCAAAATAGCTGACTAATACACCATCCCTAAAAGTGATCAGCCTTGCTTTAAGATTGTTGAGTAGGACAGGGTTGTAATAGGATTACAGCATTAGGCAGGTGTTACAGTAAGAACATCCTTAAGATCTCTTTTAGCCTCTAGGTCTTGTGATTTTCAATTCTTAAGGAGGTTATGGTTGACTCTGGAGGTAGTAGATAGGATCAACATAAAAATAGCATTTCTTTTAAAAATGTGAGACAGTTTCCCAGGCTGCACCAACATTTGCAATCCTCTTGCTTCAGCCTCCCAGAGTGCTGGGTTTACAGGTATGTGCCACCATGCCTGGCAAAGAATAAAACTGTAAACTTCATACCGATCTCACCTCTCCACACACGTCATGTCTCAGTCAGGGTCCAATCCGGAATCCAGAAACCACTCTAAGTGCTGTACAAGGAGGGGAGTTTTGTAGGAACTGGGTTCACAGGTGATGGAAGAACTGAGATGAGAAATGAAGAAGTAACCCAGGAGTTTATAAAAGCAGGAAGCTGTGTCTCTCTGTGACGTGGAGGATGATGGGTTGCCCAGCAGAAGCTACAGCTGCACACGGCCTTCCTGCTGGGAGAGGGGAAGCAGCTGTTTCCGGGGCCTGCTTGGGGCAGAGAGGAGGAAAGGCCCTGTTTCTCCTCTTTCTCTTTCCCTCTAACCTCAAACAGATCTCATGGCTGAGCCCAGGTGATACAAGAGCTGTCACAGGGCAGGGTAAGCCCCCCTGAAATATAGGGAAGAGCCAGTGTATTGGTTTGTCCTTCATTACTGTAGCAAAATACTCAAAGCAGGGTAATTTTATAAAAAAAGAGGTTACTTAGCTCATAGTTTGAGAGGTTGAAGCACATGGCATTAGTGTTAGGTCAGGTCTGGGGAGGGTGTTTTTGGCTGTATCACACCAAGATGGGGTACGTGTGTGAAGAAGGGGGGCTGGCTGGCTCCCACACCCCCAGTGACCTAAGGATCTTGCTCTGGCTCCCGGGAGGCGTTGACTTCCATCTTTCCCCACAGGAATCCGCAGTGTGAACACCACTCCCAAAACTCATCTGAATAAATACATTTCTCACCATGTGGTTTGTCTTTACTAAACTCGGCCATCTTCCCCCAGCATTCTCCATCCAGCAGTCAGTGATATTTTCCCCAGATGTAAATCAGGTCATTCCAGTCCTTTGGCTGAGATCTGTCAATGGCCCCAAATCCGAACTCCCTTGCCCAACATGGTGTTTCTTCTGCTGTCTTGTTTTGTTTGAGACAGGGTCTCTATGTTGCCCAGGCTGATCTTGAACTCCTGGGTACAAATGATCTTTGTACCTCAACCTCCCCACTAACTGAGACCACAGGTGTGGACCCCTGTGTCTGTCTACTGTCTTTTCAAGCTCACCTTCTCCATCTGCTTTCCCTCCTGCTGGCTTCTGGACACTCGGGTTTTCTGCAGAGCCTGACACCCGTGCATCTTTCTTGCCTTGGATTTTGCAGCCATGGCTCTGGAACTTCTGACCACCCCTGTGCAGCTGTTTGTCATCTTGGAGGTCTCAGGTGATGTAACATCTATCTTTTCCGAGATGCCTTTACTGACCATCCCGGGTGTATTCCCAGTACTACCTCTGTCCCAGCCCCTCACAGCTCTTGTGACATGCTATGCTTCTTTTTATTTATACATTGTCCTATTGGTGGTCTCTCTGCAAGGTTGAAATATCATCTCTCTGAGTGTCTGGTTTGTCACTGTTGTGTTACTTACTCTTCTCTACAAAATACACAAGTGGCATCTACAGATACCAAAATATTAAGTGGACAAGAGAGGGGGCCTAGGAGGGGTTGGGACACTCAGCCCTAGGGAAAGTCATATTGGAATCTCCATGGGTGGCCGTGAGTCAGTGACCTGCCTCTGTATGGGAAGACAGAAAAGCTGCTATGAGTGTTTGTGAAACCTGGCTCCCTCTGTCACATCTCACAAGATCTGAGGTGGGGGAGCGGAAAGGTGCTAAATAAAGACCAAATCTCATTGTCTCCGGGCTTCTGATTACCAGCTGCTTAGCCTGCAGTTACACAGTCAGTGGTGATGAGCTGTAATTGCAGACGTTTTCCCTGGTTATTTTTTCCCCCGGAAGATAAAGTGATACCTGTAATTTCCCAAAAGATGCGCTCCAGGCTACCATCCAGAGACAGAGGCTAAGCACTTCTGTCGCCCAGTAAACACTTGTGTTTCTTCTACTTTCTTGGCAGCTAGGTGGGCTGTCTGGGAATTAGTGGTTCTTGGTCTAAATTCTGCCACCAACTGGCTGGATAATCTAGAAGTTTGCTTATCTAGAAAATGGAGGCTGTGACAGGTGCTGGGGAAGCCAGGCGGGAGGACTGAGAGCACACATACCTCCAAGGGGGAGATCTCCGGGCTTTTGTTGTACCAGGATTCAAACTCACTACCTTGTGCTTGCCAGGCAAGTGTTGTGCCACTGAACTCTATCCTTGGCCCTAGAGGAGCTCTCAGGAGATGGGGTCCTTGCAAGCAGGGACTCTGGTGAGGACTTCTCACTGGTCCTTGGAGACAGGCGATTCCTTTCAGCTGAAGACATTGCACAGTGTTATCTTCCGTCTGAGTTGCTCAGCTCCTGGAGGTCAATCCTAACCACAGAAGCCCTTTAACCTCTCCCTACTTCATCCTCACCTCCACTCACTAGAGTTCTTGCTTGGGCTTCAGGGATTGCTGTCTGTAGTTTGTGTTTATATATTTTTTTAATTTTAAAGAGAATAAAACAAAACAATAAAATGAAACAAACAAAACAAGGGCAATGATGCTGGATTTCAAAAACAAGACAGTAGGCGATCAGCCATAGTTGCTGTAGTGCACATTGTTATCCTCTAAATAGATGCCACCAGGGCTGGGGATTTAGCTCAGCGGTGTAAGTGCCTGCTTGGCAAACTCAAGGTCGTGAATTCGATCCCTGGCACACACACACACACACACAAGGATGCCACCAGACACAGGCACACAAAGTCAATCAAACAGCACAAGCTCCAAGTTGTTCTTTACTTCAGTTGCCATTACCGCAGAAATTTCAGGTGTGTGACTTCTAATTTCCTCTATGTCCATGTCTGCTGGACCTGTTCTGGGTGAGATACAGCCATGCAAAAATTAAACAAAATAAGCCCTAAGTTATCTCTTTACAGTTGCTATCATTTCAGAATTTTTAGGTGTGTGATTTCTAGTAGATTTTGTGTCCATGTCTTCTGGACTTGCTCAGGGTGGGCTGGAGGTCTGAGACTGTGCCCTTATCTTTCTAAATGACATTTTCTTGTATTCCTCAGAGTCAGCCGGTTGCCGAATCCCAAGTGCTTCCTGCATTGGCTGTCAGTCCAGCAGTGCAGAGGATTGGGCTAGACACCTGGTTTCTCTGGTCCGAGGTTCCAGGGGGTGGAGAGGTACAGGCTGCTATGGAATCCTGGGGACCTGGTTTCCTTCTCTCTAGCCAAGGCAGCTGACTCATGGAGTGGGGTAGGGCCTCCTTTTCTCTAGGCCTGCAGCTGGGCTCACAGGGGCATGTGGTTTCTTCTCCTCTGGGCCCATGGTGGCTGGCTCACTGTGCGTGAGTTGTTTCTTTCTAATGAATTGATCATTCCATTTCTAAAGTTCTGAAATGGCCAACAGACCATAGAAAGTTGCCACTTTAGGCTCCTGCTTGAAACCAACAGCTGTAGAAAACTGCCGGCCTTGATCGGGGCCATTGCTGTCTGGAGTTTGGAAGATTGGGTCACCAAGCCTGGTGACACTGTCCAGTGGCTGAGAGGGCAGGAGGAAGAAGAGGATCCTCTGATCTTGCTGCAGATGTGGCTCACTTCATGCTTTGACTGCACAAATGCACAGGGTGGGCAGGTAACAAACAGACGTGTGCTGGCTTGTGAGTCTGGAGGCTGGGAATGCAAGAGAGGAATCTGTTGAGGGTCTTCTTGCTATACAGTGGAAAGCAAGAGGTTGAGAGAGACATGGGGCAAAAGAGGATGAATTCATCATTTCAACTGGCAGTACCAGGGCTTGACCCCCTGGCCTCATGCACGCTAGCCAAGCACTCTCCCAACTGAGACAATCCCCAGTCCAAGTGAACTCATCCTTTCCTAGGGGACCTATTTCTACCCTCGAGGTAGCATTAACCCATTTAGACACACAGACCCCTTCATGAGTTAGTCCACTCCTCGAAGTCCAGCACCTCTCAGCTCTATTCCACTGGGCCCTGGTTTTCCACTGAACACATTAGGGGTCATGTTCAAACCACAGCAGAGACTTCATGCCCTTAGGTTAGATCCTGACTGTGCTTTCCTCCTGTAAGGAGCTGACCTCTTCCTTGGTAATGATTTAGGCAGCTCATGCTTGTGAATTTCCGGGTACTGGGTTGGGGCTGGAGGAGCCATGCAGCATGTTGTTCTAGTGGGAAGATGTGTTCCAAGCTTTTCAGTAACAAACAGAAGATTTTTCAAGGCATTTTTGGAGCCCGCTCTATTCTCAGTCCAGGGAATGGCCTCTGCCAGATCTGGGCTCAGAAAGACCTGCAGGCAGAGGTGGGTGGCATGCCTGGCTGGAACCTCCTTCCCACCCTGTGTGGGCTCTCTGCTACCTCAAGCATTTTCCAGCCCTGGGCCTAAGCAGACCCACTGGAGGGATTCTTGAGCTTATATCTTGGATAAACAGGGCATAAAATGATCTCACATCATGCACTGCCTTTAACCTTGTCCTGCAAGAGGAAGGTACACTGCCCACCTGGGCATGAGCGATGATCCATTTCTCAGAGATGTGCAGAAGACTTGAGCAGGTGGTCTGGTGCCTGCCCGACACCCAGGCCACCCAGGCCACTTCTCTGCATCCACTATTACACTGATGCCTTTGGCCTCTAGAAAGGGCGCACATCCCCATATTTGTACCTAGTGATGGAGTGCACTACCTGGAGCTCAGCAGATGCTTCTTTGGTCTCAGCCCATGCGGCTGTGAAGTACAGGGATGTTCCATTGCTGGGGTATTAGGCAAGCGCTCTCATCTGGTCCTGCTGGGGGACAATCCTGGGATGTGCTTTTGCTATTCTTAGGAGGTTCTAGAGGAAATAAGTCTCCACTGAGTCACAGTGGCGGCCCTGACAGTACACCTTGTGCTGGCTTTCTTCTGTCTTTATTTCCCTGTGCTTTCTTTCATCCCTGTGGTTGCCTCCCAGAAAAAAAAAAAAAGAAACAAAACAAAACAGCCCACCTCAACACATGCTCTCATCTTAGGTTCTGCGTTGGGGCGGTTCAAAGCTAAGACACCTACATTTCAGAGGGACCCCACAGAAACATGAAAATGAATGACAGCCAAGGTTTGGAGGTCCCAGGCCAGTTTTGTTCTGGTTTGGATACTCTCAAGGGTCAGTGTGGTGAGATGAAGATGAGAAGTCCATGGCACAACCTTACTTTTGCTGGTAGAAGCAGAGAGGACGTGGTGGTGACCTCAGACCTGGACTTTGGCTTAGTGAGGGCGGATGGTGGCCTGTGACCTGGGCACTTCGAAGCTGGACAAAGCAGGCTATGGAACAAGCATGGTGCATGCTGGAGTCCTTCCATGTGGCTTGATCACTGGAAAACTGTACCATTTCCCCAGCCCAGTAGGGACACTGCTCTGTCCCAGGATGATTGCTCTTGGTGATAGATTTTATTTTTTTTTTTTCCTTTTTGGCACCGAAGATTGAACTTATGACCTCGCACTTGTAAGGCAAGCACTTGTGCTGCTGAGCTAAATTCCTGGCTGGCAGCTCTTGTTTCCATTTCTTTTGGTCCCCACTTGCTGAGGAGCCTCTCAGTGTGATCTGCTACTTTGCTCCATGTATTAATTTGGTATCACAAAGAACCCCAGACTGGGTGAGCTTAAAATGTAGAAATGTATTATGCCATCATTCTGGGGGCCAAAATCTAAAATCATGGTGTCAGGAGGGCCACACTGTCCCTGAAACCTAAGGGAAAAACCCTTCCTACCTCTGACATCTTCTGATCTTTTCTAGTCATCCGACATGTTCCTTGGCTTAAACATGCATTACTCGAATCCTTGCTTCCGTTGCCACATGCTTTGACTGCACAAATGCACAGGGTGGGCAGGTAACAAACAGACATGTGCTGGCTTGTGAGTCTGGAGGCTGGGAATGCAAGAGAGGAATCTGTTGAGGGTCTTCTTGCTATACAGTGGAAAGCAAGAGGTTGAGAGAGACATAGGGCAAAAGAGGATGAATTCATCATTTCAACTGGCAGTACCGGGGCTTGAACCCCTGGCCTCATGCACGCTAGCCAAGCACTCTCCCAGCTGAGACAATCCCCAGTCCAAGTGAACTCATCCTTTCCTAGGGGACCTATTTCTACCCTCGAGGTAGCATTAACCCATTTAGACACACAGACCCCCTCATGAGTTAGTCCACTCCTCGAAGTTCCATCTCTCAGCTCTATTCCACTGGGCCCTGGTTTTCCACTGAACACATTAGGGGTCATGTTCAAACCACAGCAGAGACTTCATGCCCTTAGGTCCTGAGTTAGATCCTGACTGTGCTTTCCTCCTGTAAGGAGCTGACCTCTTCCTTGGTAATGATTTAGGCAGCTCATGCTTGTGAATTTCCGGGTACTGGGTTGGGGCTGGAGGAGCCATGCAGCATGTTGTTCTAGTGGGAAGATGTGTTCCAAGCTTTTCAGTAACAAACAGAAGATTTTTCAAGGCATTTTTGGAGCCCGCCCTATTCTCAGTCCAGGGAATGGCCTATGCCAGATCTGGGCTCAGAAAGACCTGCAGGCAGAGGTGGGTGGCATGCCTGGCGGGAACCTCCTTCCCACCCCTGCTGTGGGCTCTCTGCTACCTCAAGCATTTTCCAGCCCTGGGCCTAAGCAGACCCACTAGAGGGATTCTTGAGCTTACATCTTGGATAAACAGGGCATAAAATGATCTCACATCATGCACTGCCTTTAACCTTGTCCTGCAAGAGGAAGATAAACTGCCCACCTGGACGTGAGCGATGATCCATTTCTCAGAGATGTGCAGAAGACTTGAGCAGGTGGTCTGGTGCCTGCCTGACACCCAGGCCACCCAGGCCACTTCTCTGCATCCACTATTACACTGATGCCTTTGGCCTCTAGAAAGGGCGCACATCCCCATATTTGTACCTAGTGATGGAGTGCACTACCTGGAGCTCAGCAGATGCTTCTTTGGTCTCAGCCCATGCGGCTGTGAAGTACAGGGATGTTCCATTGCTGGGGTATTAGGCAAGCGCTCTCATCTGGTCCTGCTGGGGGACAATCCTGGGATGTGCTTTTGCTATTCTTAGGAGGTTCTAGAGGAAATAAGTCTCCACTGAGTCACAGTGGCGGCCCTGACAGTACACCTTGTGCTGGCTTTCTTCTGTCTTTATTTCCCTGTGCTTTCTTTCATCCCTGTGGTTGCCTCCCAGAAAAAAAAAAAAAGAAACAAAACAAAACAGCCCACCTCAACACATGCTCTCATCTTAGGTTCTGCGTTGGGGCGGTTCAAAGCTAAGACACCTACATTTCAGAGGGACCCCACAGAAACATGAAAATGAATGACAGCCAAGGTTTGGAGGTCCCAGGCCAGTTTTGTTCTGGTTTGGATACTCTCAAGGGTCAGTGTGGTGAGATGAAGATGAGAAGTCCATGGCACAACCTTACTTTTGCTGGTAGAAGCAGAGAGGACGTGGTGGTGACCTCAGACCTGGACTTTGGCTTAGTGAGGGCGGATGGTGGCCTGTGACCTGGGCACTTCGAAGCTGGACAAAGCAGGCTATGGAACAAGCATGGTGCATGCTGGAGTCCTTCCATGTGGCTTGATCACTGGAAAACTGTACCATTTCCCCAGCCCAGTAGGGACACTGCTCTGTCCCAGGATGACTGCTCTTGGTGATAGATTTTATTTTTTTTCCTTTTTGGTACCGAAGATTGAACTTATGACCTCGCACTTGTAAGGCAGACACTTGTGCTGCTGAGCTAAATTCCTGGCTGGCAGCTCTTGCTTCCATTTCTTTTGGTCCCCACTTGCTGAGGAGCCTCTCAGTGTGATCTGCTACTTCGCTCCATGCATTAATTTGCTATCACAAAGAACCCCAGACTGGGTGAGCTTAAAATGTAGAAATGTATTATGCCATCATTCTGGGGGCCAAAGTCTAAAATCATTGTGTCAGGAGGGCCACACTGTCCCTGAAACCTAAGGGAAAACCCCTTCCTACCTCTTACATCTTCTGATCTTTTCTAGTCATCCTACATGTTCCTTGGCTTAAACATGCATTACTCGAATCCTTGCTTCCGTTGCCACATGGAATCTCCCTGTATGTGTCCAACTTTCCCTCTTTGTATCAAGACACCAGTCATGTCAGATTAAGGCACACCCTGGGGACCACCTCTTAATTTCATGAGCTCCTCAACCACTGTATTTCCCCATAAGGTAACAGTCTCAGGGGTAAGATTTCAACATGTCTTTTGAGTGAGGCATAATTCAACCTGAACGCTCATTCTGGTCCTTTCGTCTTGGGGTGGGCTGCCCCTGGCTGTTCATCTCTCCCCTATGGGCCTGGTTCTTATGATGCTGAAAGTGCAGGGTAGAAAGAGATGAACAAAAGGGGGCCAAATGAGAGGGAGAGGGAGATCACAGAACGGGCAGGGCAGAGATGGGGCATAGGAGGGAGGAGGAGGAAGAGGAGAAGGAGGACGAGGAGGACTGAAGA